CATCCACCAGCTGTCTCCTCAGCCCCTCCATGAGTGCCCTGAGGTCTTCGGGTGCATCTGTCTGGCTTGGTGGGTTTTCGGTTGCGGGCAATCCTGCATGATGTGCCCTAGTGCGTCACAGTTGTAACACAGCCTGTTTCGCCTCTGGTCAATTCTCGAGCGGTCAAGATCCATGGGTTGTGGCCCTGCTCCTGCCACAGGGCAGGGCGCGGGGGGCTGGGGTGTGGTGGCGGCAGGTAGGGGTGTGGCTGTGGGAGAGTGGTAGGGAGTGGGGGTCTTGGGGTAAGAGTGGGGGCCTGGTGGGGGCTAAGTGGGGTTGCGTCGCCTGGAAACGCTGCCACTGGTTGTCGAGGAGGGTGGCCTTGCATTTCCACTCAGCCCAGGTTGTTGGCATGGGGTGGAGGTGGTAAATGCTCTCACGGAGCCGGGAGTTGATCACCTGTTCGAAGCGATCCACTAGCCCTACATCCCCTAGCTGTGAGGCGGGTCCGAGGATCTCAAACTCCTGGATGATCTTATCCACGGAGTCGCTGCCCTGCCACAGAGTGGCCAGCTTCTGTCTGGCTGTGGCTTCGCGGTTTGGGTCCTGGAACATGGCGTTGAGTTCCGTGTTGAACTCATCCATGTGTCAGGGCATGCCCCGACACGCCCTGCCCGATCCCTGCTCTGCTCCCCCGCTCCGCACCGCCTCTCCCTCCTCTCCCTCTTCCTTTCTCCTGTTCTCCTTTCCTCCTTTCTTTCTTTCTCTCTTTCTCTTACATGGACCACCTTTCCTGCTGCTCAATGTATCACCGGTGCACATGCCCATCTCCCCTCCTGTATCTTACATCCCTATACCGCCGCCACCGCCGCCACACTCGCCTTGCACCCACAGCGGGCCCTCTCGGGATCTTCTGCGGAAGCACCCGGAGGGCCGTGGCTGTGTGCAAGGGTGATGTGGTGCACCCCATGTGATCATTCCCGCATGTATATAATAACGGCTGGAGTGGGAACCGAAGAAGTAGCCTTCTTCTCACATTTCCACTTCAGGCAAGTAGTGTAGCCTTCCCTTTTAATGATGACTCACATTTCCACTTCAGACTAAGTGGTCGGGGACGCTCACCCCACAACGGAATTGCCACTACACATAGCCGCTATCCATCCCACCAAGTCCCGCACGCTGGGACCTCGCCGCTTTCGGAGCTGTCCCTGACACCATGGTGAGCTGGGGGGAGCCCGTCGTCAGTAACATGATGGTGCGCTGCATCGCCCACGCCCCCGCAGTCCCTCCCTTCATATAGGACAGGACAAAGAGGATCTGAGAGAGGGTGTTGGGGAATTCTGCTGCTCGGACATGGAAATATATGCCGCACTCGGCCTTGAAGCGGTCAAGGTCTTCGGCTGCTCCAGAGAAGGCAGTGGGGGGGCGACTTTAGGTGGTTTGGGCCTAGGGGTGGGTGCGGGTGCAGCTGGGGGCTGGTTTTGAGCTTGGCTCTCTATGATGGCCTGGAGCTCCTGGAATCGGGACAGCAGTTCATCATACTGCTCTTCGGTCACCATAGCGGGGGAGGCGGGGGAGATGAGGTTGAAGCCTTCTTCTGCTGTCAGGGACAGCTCCGAAAGCAGCGAGGTCCCGGCATGTTATGGAAATGGGAAATTTCCCAATTTAGACTCTTATGGGCCCTGCACACACCCAAATCACATGATATGTAAATAAATAGAGTTTATCCAACTATTACCATTGAAAACCCATTTGTTAAACTATCTGTTAAACTCCATGTTACAACATCTATAACAACATCTGTAACTTCTTATGAACCCTCTTCCCCAACCTTTCCCCTTTCCTGTGCCTTGAATGGACGAAAATGGCGCCTCCGGCCCCATTTTTGTAACACGGCATGCGGGACTTGGTGGGATGGATAGCAGCTATCGTAGTAGCGATCCTGTCGCGGGGTGAGCGTCCCCAACCACTTAGTCTGAAGTGGAAATGTGAGAAGAAGGCTACTTCTTTGGTTCCCACTCCAGCTGTTATTATATACATGTGGGAATGATCACGTGGGGTGCACCACGTCACCCTTGCACACAGCCACGGCTCTCCGGGTGCTTCCGCAGGAGATCCCGAGAGGGCCCACTGTGGGTGCAGGGCAAGTGCGCGGTGGTGGCAGCGATATAGGGATGTAAGATACAGGAGGGGAAATGGGCATGTGCACCAGTGATACATTGAGCAGCAGGAAAGGTGGTCCATGTAAGAGAAAGAGAGAAAGAAAGAAAGGAGGAAAGGAGAACAGGAGAAAGAAAGAGGGAGAGGAGGGAGAGGCGGTGCGGAGCAGGGATCGGGTGGGGCATGTTGGGGCATGCCCTGACAGTGATCAATGTGTACGTTGGGCAGCTGCTTTTGACTTTGTGATCAACCCCGGATCCGTGGCTAAAATTAACCCTTTATGTATTACTTTTAAGGCCGAGTACATGTGAGGTCTACTTGGTCTAGTGGGTTATAGTGCTGTTTATAGACCCCTCTGCTTGTGCGGGTTCGATTCATTCTTGGTGGGGTTTTTTTTTGCCAGAGTTACAAGGATGACTTCAATGTATATATAATAGCAATAAGCAATGCTACACTAACTACACTAAACAAACCCGATGCCAGCATGTTCTACAATACACAAGCGTTGTGATGGTAATTAATAATCTTGGTTTTGTAATTGGGTTGGGTTGGGGAATGACAGGGAGGGGGCGATGTGAAATGAATGATTATTACATAATAACGTCACATGTAGGCAATGGACCATCATTTTTTGTTCGGCCCTGATCACGTGTATATTTCCTTTTGCGCTCATCTCAGGGGGTTTTGTAGGTTTTCTATTTTTGAACTATTTTTGCTTTCGGCACGTGATCTTTGCGGGATGTACTGGGGGAATGTTTTAGGGTTAGTCAGTTCAAGTGCAATGTAAATCGGCACTTTAGTCTGTAGGGTATTGCAATGTGCCCTTCAGAGAGGAGCTTCTCAGCCTACTGGGCTGAAGCGAGTTCGAGGGCATAGTTGTCCTCAGTACAGTTGACAAAGGCCATGCCATGAAGACCCACGGCCCGAAGGCTTCTTCTTCGGGCTTGCTTGCCAATTCTTGTTGGTTCACATAGTTATGCGGGTCCTCGACAAAGCGGTCATCCGCCCCGTCTTCTTCCGCGACTTCCCCACACGGCCCTTCATCTTCCTGGTCAGCGGACTTAGGAATCGGTTTGGTCGATTCTTCGTCTACACCTATAGCATGGGTCTTCACCTGTTGTGGATGGATTAGGCAGTCGGAAGAGTACCCGATTTTTCCACACTTAAAGCAAATTGGATTGCCCTTCACATCTTTCGGAGGGCGACGTTGGAACGTAGTAGTTCTGGTATTCTTCGAATACTGGTTATTGGAGGAATAAAGGACTTGAGGAGGCCCCTTTTGCGCTGGTGCAGTCGAAACCATACTATCAGGGTAAGAGGCATTGTTATAATGACATCTTGGGATCAGAGCCCATAGTCCCCTTCTTCATCGAAGAGGCTTGAGTTTCAGGAGTCGAGTAATTGGTGGACTGAGGCTTTGAGAGGGGCCCTCCTTGGTACGAGTTTATGGCGTGCATCGAATCGTATGCATGGTCGACATGTAATATGGCAGTCCAAAGATCATCTTTGGACGAAAAATCGACCGAAATTCGGTCACACAATGCAAATACCCCTCCCATGTGAAAAGGAATAGAGTTCAAGAAATGCTCGTAATAATGGCCTGGCTATCATCTTCTCCATTGCCCAGAGAAGCTGGGTGTAGAAATCCTTGATGAATCATAGAGTTCAGTGGCAGGAACTACCATAGGTCTATTCACATAGGCTAACATCAGCTTTGTTATAAGGTGGGGGCTTTCCCATCTTCAAATCCTGGCTTCACATCATGAAGCACAATCTGTTTAGGATCGCTGTCGAGCGTGTGGCCTGGGGCTTCTATATGAAACTCATCATAAGTCACACCCTTCTACTCATTCCTGGAAATCCAGGGAGCGAGCTCGACAAACCAATTCTCGAATTTCTCGAGATCGTTTCCCAGTCCACAGAGCGGTTGGGGAAGGGATTACCGGGGGTTGTGCTATTCGGGTCCCGAGAATAGGACCAGAGAGTGGATTCTATGAACCCATTGTTAGGCAAGATAGAGCCAGGCTCGCTCTTTACATTGACAGGGCCACCGCGATGGGATCTCGATGGTGACGAATAGTGGGCTGAAGAAGAAGGGTGTCGGATCTCGGCACCCCTCTCGCTAGTCATTCCATAATAAGATGACTGTCTGTCACTTTTAACGGACCGAACGGGTGCTTCAAAGCGCCTGTAGGAGTTTATTGTGCACACTACTGCTTGCGCATGTCCTTGATGTTCTGCAGAGGTCTTTCTGCACATACATATATGCAGTGTCTCCGTCTAGTTGCGTCCGGTATTCAGCAGACACTTCACTGGAGCACCTGAGGCAAAGATGGCAGTAGAGGCGCAATTTTAAGTTTGTGGACAAAGGGCAAAGAAGCAATTGGTTACAGAAGCGGTGGATGCTTTTAAACCCTGGTTGATCGGATGGAGTGAGTGGTGAATGGGTACACATGAGCAGGAGCAATTGGGGCACACGAGGGTAGTGTGTTGGTTGAGCAAGACATGATGACGTGTTGGTACGCATATCATGCCCATATCGGTTAGCCGATATGATACCCCTTCCCCATGTGCTGCGTGTCTCACTGTTGACTGCGTTCCACATGTAGCGCTTGCACGTATCTCATTCCCTTATTATTCTTGTCTGATATCTGTTATTACCTTAACTACTTATACCGCTGTGCGGTTACAATGTTAATGTGTCGTTGTTCCCCATTATCCGAGTGTCCCCACTGAGAGCTACATAGTGCGTGAAAAGGTACAGGGAGGGTGAAACTTGGAAAACATCATGCAGTGAGTAAAGCGGAAAGGCAGGGTGTATGAGGCAAGGCAGGCAAAGGGTCGAGCCTGGACAACGACCTTACACAATGAGGAGCTTCCACAAAGCAACATGCAACAAATGAGCATGTGTGCTTCCATCTGTGGCCAACATATGAATCTGTTCCATATCATGCCATGATGATTCAATGTACTTTGCTGCACCACTCGCATCTAAGACCTGAGCAAAGGCTGCATGCAGAGCCAGGATTTCAGGATCGGGGAGGTCAATAGCTTCATCGGAGTGATTGACAAGAGCGATCTTCTTGCCTGTCTGACGAGTGTTCCCGATGGTGCGGATGATGTAACTATTTTCTTCTCCCTGAAAGCAACAAGTGAACTTCTGTACAAGGTTGTTTTTAGCAACTTACTAGTATTGGCTCAAACCACAAATGGAAATTCCCAAATGCTAAGTCGAGGTCACCTCGGAGAAGCAGAGCATTGGCAGGTCGGTTTATTTTTTCCCCACCGAGTTTTGTTATGGGGAAGGAGCCCCATTTTGCTAGTATGTCCCATGTAATTGCAGCAATGTTCTAGAAAAGACATCATTACAACCTGCAGATACATCAATGCATGGCTGACACTACCAGGGACAACGAATTGGCATCATCAAAGTTATTCAGGGAAAATGGGATGATATGCGATGTTCTCATTTCACCCTGATATCCCCCTGGGGGAGGCTGCAGAAGGTCATAGGGATAATCCCCAGAAATAGTGCATCTGTAGCCTTGGCGCTTGTGGAGCTGAGTTGGCATGAGGGTTGGGGTCAAAACAACGCTACAAAAGTGAACATTACTAGACATTGAAGAGCCTTTTGATCGCTTTGAGATGCGCTCTCAATTACAGTAGCTGTGTAGTCAAGCGTTCACATGCATGGCCCTTACTGCAAATCATATGAAAAAAGGGCAGTATGTGGCTGAAGAGGAAGTACACATTACCAGGATACAGAAAGTAAACGAGCCACACTTCAGCGAGGGTCTTGAGAAACTTGGGGTGTTCAGACATCTCGTGCTCTCTACACTTAAGGATGGCAGTAGTGACATAGCCTTTACCCTCTTCTCTTACAGCATAGTCCATGAGCGAGAGCAGGATCGTGTCTACCCTTACAGAGTGATCCTGAAGCAGTGCCCCTTGGCATGTGTGTTGACCTCCTCTCTGGCATCTTTGAGATAGCAATGCCGTGCATTCCTATCTTTAGGCCCTTCATCACTGGAAGAAGAAAGGAGAGATGCAACAGAGTCAACCGAGATGTGAGGATGTGCCATGGTGTCTGCCATTCCTGGTGTTGTGCAAAGTCAGTTCATTGGGGTTCAAGACTCAGATGCATGAATGGAGAAAACCTACAAAACCCCTCTGAGATGAGTGCAAAAGGAAATATACACGTGATCATGGCCGAACAAAAACTTGATGGGAATTATATATATATATCTACAATATCTACAATATCTACAATATATAATATCTACAATCTATCTATCTATATCTATAATGAAGTCAGGTTGAATATATTGTTCTATTCAGTTTTTGTATTGTCCTATTCAGTTTAATTAACGTAAGCAATGCAGTTCTCTGAGCCGTGGGAGCTGTTTCAATGTTAACAATTGTACTAGATGACCTATCATGGTATAATAATAAAAGATGGAGAGGACGTTTGAGCGATTCCATTGCAAAAGACCCGATGGAAAACGGTTGAGAATTGAGGGAGATACGAGTGGTGGCCCATCCCAGCGCGAGGTGTGTGCGTGGGAAACAGTGGCCACGGCCTCAAACAGGATGTTTGACGATGTGCGCTAATAATAGTAGATGGAGGGGCCGTTAATACAAGCTCATGGAAAAAAACCCGACGAAAAACGAATGGGATTTGACAGAGATATGCATGTACATGTCTTTTGTGTGTGAAAAAATGTGAAAATCCGTCTTACTGCCTCATAGACCCTCATTCGCGATTGACGCCAATAATATAGAATGGCGATGGCGTTAATACAAGTATGTACGAAAAGACACGACGAAAAAAGAATCATAATTGACAGAGATACGAATGTGCATGTTTTTTTTGGTGAAAAATTGTGAAAATCCGTCCCACTGCCTCATGAACGCTCATTCGCGACTTGCACCAATAATATCTAATAGTCAGGGGGTTGGTACGGGACCATTGAAAGAAACCCGACGAAAAACGAATGGAAATTGACAGAGATACTAATGTACATGCTTTATGTGTGGAAAAAACGTTCCCCCTCCTCATTCACGCTGATTCACGACTTTCACCAACAATAACAAATGGAGGTGGAGTCAGTACGGGCCCATTGAAAAAGACCCGACGGAAAACGGTCAAGAACTGAGGGAGATACCAATCCAGTGTCAGCTCCGCGGCTGATCTGTGCGTGGGAAACGGTCCCCAGCACCCTACAGATGTTTCAAAAATATGAAAAAATATTAGGTACCTGCGTTAATACTATATAAAATGGTTCACAAAATTTCAGGACATTCGGCCCAGTATCAAGCGAGATATAATAAATTATGTGATTAATTTCCACTTGGCACCCTCAAAATCGCATAATATCGAGTTGAGGTAATGATACAAATTGTAGAGGACATTAACACGCGCCCGTTGAAAAAAACCCGAAGAGAAACGAATAAGAACTGACAGAGATACAAATGTAGTGTCTGCTCTGCGCGTGGTCTGTGCGTGGGAAACGTCTTCCAGTGCCTCACCGCATGTTAAAGAAATATGAAAAAATGTTAAAAACTTGCGTTGATAATATATAAATTAGTACGCAAATTTATAAAACATTTGGTAAGGTATTAAGCGAGATATAAGAATAATACCATACAGTTTTGTGTGGGAAATAAGAAAATCGCCATAGTCTCCTCGGGATCGCCGAACGACGAGTCGGACTAATAATACAACATGTAGAGGACATCAAGACGCGCCCATTGAAAAAAACCCGACCAGAAACGGATGAGAACTGACAGAGATATGATAGATTTATGTAAAGAATCACGTGTATATGTTTAGTTTGAGGAAATTCACGTGAGCAATTGAGCGTAACCTCCCACAACTTTTTTCGCGCACAGACATATGCGAAAAAGTACTAATACCCCCACTCAAAACCGGTTTACACCCCCCCATGGGAGCAATTCTTTTTTGTTCCCATGTGACTTTGGCATGTAAAATAGATAAAATAGATAGATAAATAGATAAAATAGGTAGATAGGTAAATAAATAAAAGTAGATAAAATAGGTCATAATAACCGTAAATAGTAATAAAATAATAAAAATAGTAGTTGTTTGTTGTTGTATCAGTAATTTTTTTTTTGGTTGTTTTCACTAATTAGTTATTAATAAGTAATGATAGTATTGTTGTGTTAGTTATTTTTTTTGTTGTTTTCGCTAATTAGCAAATACAATTAGATAATAATAGTGGTGTTGTATTAGTCATGTTTGGTTATGTTTTCGAAATTGGTGCCTACAATAAATGGTTGTATTCTCCCTTTTTCTTTGTATTTCGCTATTAGCATGTAAAATAAATAGGTAAATAAAATTGTATAATTAAAATGTGGAGCAGAATCAAATGAAGGGTTCCATATAAGGTAAAAATTTGAGAAAATTCACGGCAACATGGCACAACATGAAGCAGAAACATCCAAAAAAAATAAAACCAAGGTGTCCTGAATAAAATAAAATCTGAAAAAATTGCGGCAATGTGGGACAACAAAGGAAAATAAGTTTTATATAAAATAAAATCCAGAAAATTCACGGCAACATGGGACAACATAGAATAACAAGATAGAAAAATAAAAGCCAGGTGCTCTCTATAAAATAAAATCCAAAAAATTCATGGTAACATGGGGAACACTGTTTTACAAACTTACAAAGGAATTACAGACAAAATTTGATTGGTTGGGGTGGTGGGTTTGCAGAAATGGTGAGGAAATAAAGGAAAACAACAAATAAAAGGGCCTCACTCCCACTGCATTGCCAAGAGGGGGAAAGGCATTTCTCATTCCTGTGTATGATTGGTGGAGCGGGGTTTGGGGCGCAGCCCCAAGGCTCTCTGCAGGAGTGGGGTTCGGGGCAAGGCCCTGATGGCCCTCCGCAGGAGCAGGGGTTCAAGGGGCTGGCCCCTTGGTGTAAAAAATAATCAAATATATCCAGGGGGGTTTGGGGCGCAGCCCCAGGCTCTCCGCAGGAGTGGGGCTTGGGGCAACGCCCCAATGGCTCTCTGCAGGAGCAGGGGTTCTAGGGGCTGGCCCCTTGGTGCATAAATAATTACCATATATCTTATTATTTCTTTAGCACAAGGGGAACAATAATAACAAGGATGTCGTTGCATGGGGCGGAGCCCCAATGGGGTCTGGGGCAACGCCCCAGGGGGGTTCGGGGCGCAGCCCCGATGCCCTCCGCAGGAGCTAGAGACCGCTAAACGCGTGGGTGTGCGAGGAACGAGCACCCCACGGGTTAAAGGTCTCTAGTACTTAAGTCAGGTTGAATGTATTGTTTGAGAGTTAATTATATAAGCTTTTCCCGCGCTCAAGCCTGTTGGTGGCATCTTGCCATTGCGCTGGATAACCTGTGGTGTGACAATAATAACGAATGGAGAGGACGTTGGCATGAACCCATTGCAAAAGACCCCATGCAAAATGGTTGAAAACTGAGAGAGATATGGGGTGTGGCCCATCCCAGCGCGTGTTTTGAGTGTGGGAAAAGTGTCCACGGCCTCATACAGGCTGTTTGATGACTAAAGTTAATAATACGGTATAGAGAGGCTGTTTGAACGAGCTCATTGAAAAAAACTTGACGAAAAACAAACAAGATTTGACAGAGATACGAATGTACATGTGTTTTTGTGTGAAAAAATGTGAAAAAACATCCCACCGCCTCATACACCCTCATTCGCGATGTGCGCCAATAATATAAATAAATGAGGGCGTTGGTACAAGCATGTACAAAAAAGAACGACGAAAAACGAATGATAATTGACTGAGATACCAATGTACATGGTTTTTTTGTGAAAAAATGTAAAAACATGTCCTACCGCCTCATACGCGCTCATTCGCGGCTTGCACCAACGATAGAAAATGACCAGGGAGGTGGTCCGAGCCCATCAAAAGAAACCCGACGAAAAACCAATCAGAATTGACAGAGATACTAATGTACATGGTTTATTTGTGGAAAAATCGTGCTACTTCCTCATACACGCCGATTCACGACTTGCACTAACAATAATAAATGGAAAGGAGGTTAGTACGGGCCCATTGCAAAAAACCCGACGAGAAACGGTCAAGAACTGACAGAGATACAAATCCACTGTCAGCTCCGCGGATGATATGTGCGTGGGAAACCGCCTCCAACGCCTCACAGATGTCTTAAAAATATGTAAAAATATGTAATGCTTGCGTTAATGATATATAAGATGGTTTGCAAAGTTTCAGGACATTTGGTCCAGTATCAAGCGAGATATATGGCAATTGTCTACTTTGCCTGCTTTTCAATTCAATGGAACAAGTCATGTGACTTTGATCGGTGATCGGATCAACATCTCTCTCTCTCCCTCTCCCCTCACACACTCTCTGTGCTTTCTGTGACCCCTGTTAACTATAGCACTCAATCTTGCGCTTGGATCATCTCTGATATTGAGCAACTCAACACTCTGTTGCCACTTCTGGGGGAAATCTTGCAAAATCTTGCAAAACTGTGATCACAATGTGAGATTCCCACTTAGACTCAATCATCAACAGTGTTTCATGCCCAATC